AATTATATTATTATAATTAATTTTATTTATTTATTATTATTATTTTTATAAAATTAATAATTTTAATAATAACCAACAGCACTCTAATTTTCACATAGAAACAACCAAATACAAGCTGGTGTGTATCCAGCTTACAAGGAGCAAATTGATGTCTAAAGAAACAATCTGTCACAATTCAGATGATAAAATGATCATAACAGGAAATATGATCTATTCCTACACTACACCAAAGCAGAGCATTTCACCCAAAAGCATCTCCTTTCAGATTCAGTTTAATTCTTCATGATTTGGCAAAAGGCTCTTGGCTGGAGAGAGGAGAGCAACAGCACTGTGATTTGCGCCAGAAAATTTCCGGTACACTGCCTTGAGCTTGCCTTCTGCAGCTGTGGAGTGAAATTTAACCAAAAGCTTTGCACAATCCCTGTGACACACACAGAAAAAGGAAGAGACCAACTTATTATACATGTTGTATATGGGAAATGTAGTTAAATAAAGAAGAGAAGGGGGTGATTACATCAGCTGGTCTTCAGAGTAGCCTGCGTGGAACTTCAAAGTTTCACTCCAAAGAGGTCTTTTGTCAAGTGTGCATCTTGCTGCATAAACTACAGCAGCAGCAAACAGGGAGGGATGGTACAGAACAATGGCCTGGTACTGCATCAGGCCAAGTTCAGCCAAGAAAAACACCAAATTCTCCATCTGCATTAGCACCAGATCAATGAATTTAATATGGTTTTTCTTCTTTTTCATTTTTCTCACTCAGAAACTAGTACTATTAGACTATAGTAATAGTAAATAGTTACTACCTCGCTGTCAGATGGGATTGAGGCTTTGATATATCGTGCCAGGAAGACATACGGGGTAGGAACAGTCAAGTACCATTCCAACTTGTTCAGAATTGCCTTCTCCATTACCAGGACCTGATCTCTCATATAGGCATTGTCTGATATGAAAACAAAGTCATTAACCTGCAAATTTTCAGAAACCAAAGAAAAGGTTAGATCACACATTGCAGCAGAAGACAGCAATTTCAGTTCAATATGATAATGAGCAAAAATTGGTTCACAATAATACCTCAGGAGCCCATATCTCTTCATACTTGCATGCTATGAGCATTGCACCAATGCCAACCAGCTGAAGTTCCCTCCTGGACACAACCTTTTTAGAAAGGAATCGATCCACAATGTTTATGGTGAGATAGAGGGTTTCTGGCATAAGCTCGAATTTGCGATGAACTTCAATCAACCAGTCCACTAGGATCGCCCTCATCTTTGCATTGATTTCAGGCTGTAAATCAATGTAATTCTGTACTCGTTCATCTCCCTGTATCATAAAAACGTACGATGTCAGCAAAAGAAAAGGGTGATCTTCATTGAGTGTAGAAAAATACCCAAAAACATCAGTACCTCCGAATCTTTGTAGAACTTATAGATATCATCTACATATTCAACAACAGCCAAGTGATTCTCAGCATCATCTGCATCAATGTCTGCGATCAATTCCTGTGGCTTATTCGCAATTCCGCAAACAGCCTGCAAGGATTCAAAAAACTCAACTCATAAACAAGCAATTCTAAGGGGGGTGAGATCCCCTGTTTCATCAACTGATTTTCATTTCATCATCTGTCATACCTTGCTTCGAGCAGTGAGAATTGAAGTGATGCTCTTCTTCACTTCCTTCCTCCTCCTGCTAACAGGCATGGTCTTATCTGTTTCATCAGAGCTTATGACGATCACATTCTCCGGTTGTGACGGCTTCTGAACTACCTTCCTCTGAGCTACTGCCGCTGCTGCCACCACTTTTTTCTCCACTCCGCCTCCTTTCCCGATCGCCCCATCTACCTTTCCTTGTCCAACTCGTTCAACCACTAAATTGCCAATATCTTGAAGAACACGTCGAGCTCTTCCATCTGCTCCCAATCCGTTATTCTGTTTCATTTCGCCTAAAAAAATTCCGGATTTTAAAGAACGTTATCACCAGAAAAACAAATCAAGAATCGAAGGAAGAAAACATCACAAATCGGAAGAAAAGAGAAGAAGGAATCAAAAACTCAAAAGAAATCGCTATGAAAGCGCAAAACCTCAAAAGGAAGAAAATCGGAGTTTCAGATTCAAGCCAAATCGGATCTGGCACGTATTCTTGCAAATCGATGAACTGAAAAAGCGAAATCGACAAAAGAAAAACGAAAAGATATATAGAGATGAGATCTGACCTCCGATCTGTTGGCGAGGAACGACAGCTCTCGACGCCATTTCTGGATCTCCTCCTCCTTCTTCTTCTTCTTCTTGTTGAGCCTGGCCAAGGACTCCTCCAATGCTCGCAAACAGTGACGACAAGAACACTTGGAGACGACTACCGCGCCTCTCCGCCTCTCCGTCGCTCGCCGCCACCCTTCTCCTCCGTCTAGTAACACAAATCCCTTCCCCTCCTCTTTCTTTCTCTCTTTTGCGCTGCAAATTCTTGCTCTCTATTTCTTGTTTTGGTATTTTTTTGAATGAAGATTTAATGGGGGAGAAAAAAGAGAGCGTCAAGTTTCCTTTTGAAGGGACGCGACTCCTCCCCTCCCCCTAACGGTCTAATTTTTCTTGCCTTGTTTTGACCGTTGGATTGCAGGCTATCTAACGGCTATGAGCGGTTTATTTTTCTGTTGAAGATTTTGGAATTTTGTAGCCGTTAGGAGTTCGGGCCGCATCCGTATGGCCTGGCAAGGCATTTGAGTGGATCGATTAATGGGCTGGGTTCAGGCCCAATCTTTTCCAACTTCCTTCCTTCCAAGTTCCGAATGGACCTCTTTAAGTTCTAACTCTCTCAGGCTCTTATTAACTCCAAACACCCGAAAATTTACTCTCCCCTTTCCTCTTCTTCTTCATTTTTTTGTTTTTTTGAATATTCAAAGGGGAAAACACTAAAATGTCAATTATTTTTATTTTACTCAAATCATATACTAATATTGTACTTATATATATATATATATATCTAAATGAGAAATATTTTATTTACTGAATTTTTAAAAAATTAAGAGAAAAACATCATAAAAAAAACGTCTTTTCAATAATTTTTTTATTAAAAATATTAAAATAACATATTTTTAAAATATGTATGAGACTCTTTTATTTTTTTGGTAATATTTTTTAAAAATTATATAATTTTAAAATATTTTTTTAATAATTTAGAGACTTAATTGATAAACAACAATCTTTTTTTAAATTTAAGATTATACACTTAAAATTTAAAACTTTCAAAAAAAAAGAATTAAAAAAAAAAGGCAGCTTGTTCTCACTGATTACATCAAATGAGGTAACTTGCTACCAATGAGGGGTTGGATCAAGTGGTAAGCGACTTGTTCCAACTTAAATAAAGTTTCGAGTTCGAGTACTTGCGTATGCAACAACTTTCGTTGGGAGACTCACCTACCATTTCCAGGCGCGTGACCCGGGTCGAGTCCGAATTAATTAGAGTAAAGCCCGAATACCAAGCGGGAAACCGAAAAAAAAAGAAGAGACAACTTGTTACATGGCATCTAAAGAAAAAATAGAGTAAATAATAAATAAAGTGGAGTAATCTGCCTGGTTAGACAGGAAGCATTTCTAGGAGGTTCTCTCTCTAGGCTTTCCCACTTGCTTTCCTGAGGTATTTACCTTCAGGCTGTCATCTTCGGCCCGCCCAGATCTTGGTCGAGTGGATTTATGGTGAGTTTTTACAGACCCAGAACTCTATTTGATGTGGTACCAACCAAGTAGTTGGGTTTGTTGAAGAATTAATTCAGTACCTACTGCTCCCGTTTCAAAAAAAAAAAAAACAAAACAACAATTCTCTACCTACTGCTCTGTATCAGGGAAAAATCTCTACCTACAACTGTGTCAAAAAAACTCTGCATACTGCTCGTTTCGAGGAAAATCTCTACCCACTGCTGTAGAAGAGCCCTGCTTCAACACCCTGTTTTCAACTTCTGACACTCCGGGGGATGGTTAACACACAACTAATACCGGGTGGAGGTGTCTCGAGAACGAGGCAAGACACTCCGGTTCTTCGCCTTGCTAGTAAAAATACAGAGCATGGTGAGCTTCACCGTGTCTCTTTTGCAGGACATCTACTGACAGAAGAAGAAGATATCAGGAGTGGGCTTGTCTATAACATCTTAAAGAGTGCTTGGAGACCGAAGGGAGGATTCGAATTGCATGAACAATCTAAAAATACTTACATTTTTATCCTCTCTGATGAAACAGAAAAAAATCGAATCTTTCGAGAGTCTCCATGGCTTGTAAAAGGATCCCATCTTGTTCTCAAAGATTGGCCGGCTTCACAGCGCTTTGATGAAATTGTATTCTCACACTCAGAATTCTGGGTGCAGGTTCACGGCCTTCCAAAGGGATGCATGACCCTGGAAAATATACAGCTTATTGGATCACTGTTCCCCCGCTTAATCTCTTGGGACCAGTCCACGGTAGGGGGCCTGGAAAGTTTTTTAAGACTTCGAGTTGAAATTGATGTGCATACCCCACTTCTTACAGGTTTCCAATTCCAACAGCAAGGGGATGAAATGTGGACTGCAGAATTTAAATATGAGAAATTAGTTGAATTTTGCTATAGATGTGGGATGCTGGGACACACTACAAAATCATGTGCTGGGTTTCGAGGGAAGGATGATGATGGAAACCTCTCTCAACCCAGACTGCAGTATGGTCCACAGCTGAGAGCAGCAGCTTACTCACCCAAAAAACATTTTGGATCCATCCGGGAAGGAAAAACATCTTTTCAACCACCTCAGGCCAAACAGACACAAGGAACAAAAGACAGCTCAGAGGCTGTAAAATTGGCAATACCTGCAAACTCAGCTGGGCAGAAGCTGGTGGTATGTGACGAAGAGCTCCCAGAGCTAGAGCGTGATGGCCAACAGGAAGCGGAGCGCGTGAATCGACCCCTCCATTCTTTTTTGGGCACAATAGTAAATGAGATGGAGTTTCAGTCATCCAGTGACATGATTACTACCCCTCACACAAGCTCAGAACTTCCATTAATTTCCCCTGTCATCCAACTGCAGACGCCTCCTTCATTAAATGTGACGGTGACCAACTTATTATCTTCTGAGCTGGACAAGCATCTAGACTCTTCACACAAGATGAAGGAGAAACTTGCTGGACAAGATGGGACTCGGGTCAACACAGAATTGGGTTTCTTATTGGCCCAACAAGTAGAAGCCCAACTGTCTTTGGGCAATAATTCCAAGACAGGGAGGAAACGGAAGAATGATACTGGGCCGGAGGGTGAAATATTAAAAAAGACTTGCCTACAACCCAATGAACCAATTGGGCTACAATGCCCTCCAACCCAAATGCAAGCAGCCATAGCAGCGGGCAGGTCTGATTTTTATAAACAAGATAGGAAGGGATTTTTCACAGAGGTGGAAGAATCCATATCAGTTCACCGAGTTCGACGCAGGATCCGACTAAAGGAGTTAGCTCGTCAAATGCAGTCTCAACCGGACTCTCGCGTCGCCTTACTCCCACCGGTTCAATCAACTCAAAGCTCCACTGAAGAACCCCCCTTTATCCAGATGATGTCTAATGCAAGTCACGCTCCAAGTACTTTCTTTATAGAGTCCTCAACTTCTCCATCAATAATAACTGAGCAATATGCAGATGATATGATACAAGGGGCATCGGTGGCTGGCCCTTGGCAGCCACCACATCCTGGATGAAGATTCTCTCATGGAATTGTCAGGGCCTTGGGCAAGCCCTGACGCGAAGGGAGCTCACTGATCTTATCTTTAAACATCGCCCTTGCTTGGTTTTTTTGATGGAGACCAAAAAACACAAGAAATACTTGGAGCGGTTGAGAAGAAAGTATGCATTCTCAAATAGTGTTTATGTTGAACCGCAAGGCTATTCGGGGGGTTTAGCCTTGTGGTGGACAGAGGAAGTTCACATCTCAATTTACTACACTGATAAAAATATGGTTGATGGATGCTGCACCGATGATGATTACTCTAATTCATGGCATTTTTCCTTTATCTATGGGGAGCCGAATGTCCAACTAAGGAGAACAATGTGGAGCAGAATGATGAATTTTAGACGACCTATCTCTATTCCATGGCTAATAATGGGAGATTTAAATCTAGTCGGTGATAGCAGTGAAAAACAGGGCAGAAGACCTCCTTTGGTAATTGATAGAAGATTGCTCGAAGAACTCATCTGTACTTGCTCATTAAGAGAAGTTGGTTATAGAGGATCCAAATACACCTGGGTGAGGGGCAATATTAAGGAACGGTTGGATAGGGCCCTGATAAATGATGAATGGGGCAGGTTATTCCCAAATGCTCAGCTATTCCATGGCACGAGAATCGGCTCAGATCACTGCCCACTTTTACTGAGTTTAAAAGCTATGCCTGTCATAACCAAGAAGCATTTCCGTTATGAACTCAAATGGCAACTCCAAGATGGATATGAAGGAGCTATAACCCGAGGATGGATGACGGACCGGTTTGGCTCTCCACTTTACCGCATGAATGCCAAAATCTCCCATTGTAAAACATATCTAAAGGAATGGAGCAAATCTACCTCAGGACATACCCGCCAAGAGCTGGAACAGTTACAACAAGAACTTGAAGGGTTACAACAAGAGGAACAGTCAGAACTGAACTTATCAAGGCAGAAACTTCTTGTGGATAGAATCCATTCTCTATGGATGCAGGAAGAGGTATACTGGTTTCAGAGAGCTCGGACAAATTGGCTAAAATTTGGAGACAAAAACTCTAAATTTTTCCATACAATTGCCTCTAGGAGGAGGCAAAATAATTACATCTTTCAGCTAAAGGATGATCAGGGACAATTGGTGGAGGGTGCTGAATTACTTACCAACCATGTCTTCTCCTACTTTCAACAGGCATATGCTTCTGGCAACACTGGGAATTACACACAGCTCACAGGACTAATTTCTCCAACTGTTACTGCAGAAATGAATCAAGACTTATGTAGATCAGTATCTGAGGAAGAAATTCGCTCTGCAGTATTCCAATTGGGTGCTTTTAAAGCGCCAGGAGTGGACGGTTTCCCAGGATGTTTCTTTCAACAGCATTGGGACCTTGTGGCCCCAGATATTTGCAATGCTATTCGACATTTCTTTGAACATGGCTTTATGTTACGGGAGCTGAACAAAACCAAAATTGTCCTGATCCCCAAAATCAAGAACCCAGAGGTGATTTCACAATTTAGGCCCATCTCTCTTTGTAATTTCTCTTATAAAATTATTGCAAAAATTTTAGCAAATCGCTTGAAAGGTTACCTTGATCGCCTTATAACTCCTTTTCAGTAAGCTTTTATCCCAGGCCGAGCCATCCATGATAATATTCTGATTGCACATGAAGCTTTCCATGGACTACGGCTGAAGAAATCTGGTAAGCATGGTATTGTGGCTTTGAAATTAGATATCAGGAAAGCTTATGATAGTGTTGATTGGAAGTGCCTTGAAAATATCTTGCGAGCTCATGGATTCTGTGAAAAATGGACCCATATGGTAATGCAATGTGTCTCTACTGTTTCATACACAGTGGGAATTAACAGCAATCAAACTCCCTTCTTTTTCCCACAAAGAGGACTTCGGCAAGGGGATCCTTTATCCCCGTACCTTTATCTCTTTATCGCTGATATTTTGTCTCGCTTATTAATGACAGCGACAACAGAAAAGAAGATTTCTGGCTACAAGATAAGAAAAAGAAGTCCAACAATTAGTCACCTCCTATTCGCTGATGATTCTCTAGTTTTCTGTCGGGCTACATTGGAGGAGGTGAGCCATTTACAAGCTATTCTGCGGCTATACGGGGAAGTTTCTGGCCAAAAGGTCAACTTCACCAAGTCTGCTGCTATTTTTAGCCCTAACACACCGAAGGAAGTTAAGGAATCAATTTGTGCATGTCTTGGAATTCAAATTGAATCTGCCGTTTCCAAGTACCTAGGCCTGCCAACCTCTTGGGGAAGATCCAAAAAAGAGAGCTTGAAATTTATTGTTAACAAAATTCAAACCAAGCTTGCCCACTGGAAAAAAAACATGCTATCTCAAGCAGGCCGGGAAATCCTAATAAAAGCGGTTGCTATGGCCATTCCTTCTTTCATGATGTCCTGTTTTTTGTTTCCTACAGGCGTCTGCAGAGATATCAACCAAATTGTTAGGGACTTTTGGTGGGGACAGCAGTCTGACGAGAGAAGAATGTGTTGGGTGGGCTGGAACCGTCTTACTCAAAGCAAGCATGTCGGAGGGATGGGTTTTAAGGATCTCTATTGTTTCAATCTGGCTATGCTTGCTCGACAGGCTTGGCGAATCTTGCAAAACCCCAATGCCTTGTGGGTCCGGGTTCTAAAAAGCTTATACTTTCCAAATTCCTCCTTTTTTGATGCGAGGAAAGGGAGTCATCCGTCATGGGCATGGTCTAGCATCTTAAAAGGAAGGGACATAGTGCAATTGGGTGCAAGATGGAATGTAGGCAATGGCCAGGACATTTTGATTTATCAAGACAAATGGGTTCCCACCTTACCCGAATTCAAGGTAACATCCTCACAAAGCACTCTTTCAATTTTCTCTCATGTTTGTGAGTTGCTAGATGACTATGGGGATTGGGATGTTAACAAATTAAATACGTGTTTCAGTAGCATGGAACGTCAGGAAATCCTTAAAATCCCCACCGGGCTTTGCTCTGACTCTCTTATATGGCATTATGATAAAAATGGAGAATTTACTGTCAAGAGTGCTTATCTTCTTGCATGTCGTTGGCATCATGAAACTAATATGGATAGCACAAATATGGGCCTATCCTCTGGTGAGTGGAAACATTTGTGGAAATTGAAGGTGCCTCCTAAGGTTAGAGTCTTTCTTTGGAGAGCCATTTTGAATGCTTTACCCTCCATGGATAATTTGGTGAAAAGGGGGATTGTGCAAGAGGCTTTATGTCCTCTCTGTCAGTTAGCTGATGAATCATTAATGCATTTGCTCTTTTATTGCCCTCACGTCGAACCAATTTGGTTTGGTTCAGCCGTGGGTCTTGACCCTAGGCAACTGGGGGTGGGTTGTTTTGTGGAATGGTGGAAGTATATTAAACAGGTGGCTCAACAAATGCACTATCCTTCTTTGCTTGACCATTGTGCTATTGTTTGCTGGCACATTTGGAAGGCAAGAAATGAGAGACATTTTGAGCATGCAGAAATTTCTCCTCATCAGGTTCTTGCTCGAGTTTCTTGTATGCTCCAAGAACTCTTGCCCTCAAACCAAAAAGATCTCTTGAAAACCCCGTCCAGGCTTCGACCAACTAAACAACAGTCCCAGTCGTCATGGTCTAAGCCGCCACACGGCACCCTAAAGATCAATGTTGACGCATCTTTTTCACCAAACACGGGGTTTGCAACCTTGGCCATGGTTGGGCGCAACTCAAATGGGGAGATGTGCTTCGGTAAGACTTGGAACTGTATGGCCTTATCCCCACTTATGGCTGAAACAGCTGCTCTCCTTAAAGCTATACGTTTTGTTGAAGATAGAGGAATTCGCCAAGCCATCTTTGAATCTGACAATCAGGTTTTAATCTCAACTTTGCAGCAATCACTTAGACCTCTACCATGGGAGGCAAAAACCCTTATCATGCATATCCGACATTTATGTGTATGCCACCCTGGATATAGCTTTGTCTTTGTACATCGTAATGGTAATAGGGTAGCAGACTGGATTGCCCACTCATCAAGAACTGGACAATGCCCCTCGTATTGGGCGCATCGTCCCCCTAACATACTACTTAAGCTGCTTTTGGATGATGTAGCTTCTACTTAATGATATAAATCTTTCGTTTTACATCAAAAAAAAAAAAAAAACAAAATACTACTTTGTTTTTAATAATAAAGAATTTTTTAACAGGTATCTTAAATAAAAATATATTTAATGTGCCTCTTAATTATATATATATATATATATTTTATGGAAATCATTAGCTGCTTTGATTGCAAGCTATGAAATACAAATACAAGTTCAGGAACAATCAGCAGCAACCAAAGACATAAGAGAAGGCGTAAACCCTGCGACATCTAAAAAACGTGGATCGCAGATAACTGGCCCGCATCGCCGCGTTATTTCATGGTCACCTTATAAAATAATTTAGAG